AACTGAAATCTATAATTAGAATTTCTATAAATACCATTAATATGTGCTTGTATGGGATGTTGATTGGGATGTTTAGAACATGGACATCAAAATTTACAAAGAACATCCCATTAGTGTGTTAATTAACAGAAGTGATAAATATGCCTTCACCCTTAGTTACTAACAGGTTCTCATATTTCTGTTGCAGAGTCGGGTGTGCGCATCTGATTACCTTTTAACAAAAAATAAGTTCTAGCACTTTGCAAAGCATTTAAGTTCCATTACACATACGGAAATCTTGACACAAAAAAATGATCAAGGGGCTATGCATTAAATAATGATTATACTATACCCTTAGGCACTTTTTTCACTTTTGGGGATCTAAGCATGTTAGTTGTTGGCATCTGTCTGCCTCAGGATATAATAGAGGAATGTGCCATTGTGAGTGAAGTCAAACTGTTGCAGAATTACAGTGCCGGCTATGGCTGTAGATACTGATACAGGAGAGACATGTTTTGTTGCAGCTGGTGCAGATGAAGGCGTCCGGTTGTGCTGCTGCACCACGGCATTTCTTTTCTCTGAGCTGCTCATGTATTTGTGAGGGAAACGGAAGCTTTGAATCCTGCATGAGAAAAAGCAGTCATATGTGATGTTCAGTTTTGAGCAGAAAAGTGGTGAACAGGGAAAGGTTTATGCACCCTTCCCTTTCCCTGTTCTCAGAGCATGGCATTTTCAGAGCTTGGCAGAGGTTTTCAACCTTTTTGAGTCCAGGTCTTCCTTAACCAACTACTGGTACATTCTTTCTGCAGCACCCCTGTGGGGCTCATTCAGGAGCCCCGTTATGTCACCCCTTGCCTGCAGAGCTGGCAGCCTCTCACCCTTTTTCAAACACCCTCCCTTGTGGGGTGTTCCCTCAGCCTCCTCTCCTTGGGAGTCCTCCGGGCAGCTGCTGCTACCATCCCTGGTCTCTGAGCTGCCATTCCCCCCACCCCAGCCCTAAAGAGAGGTACCTCCCAGGCACCATTTGCCAGTGGAGCTTATAGCCAGGGGTGCTGCAATAAATAGCAGTGCAAGCCTTTGGGAGGTGGAGACACAAGAGGGCATCAGAGGAGGGAGGGTAAAGAAGAGGGACAGAGGCCAATGTTGCCCACGGTACCCCTCACCACCATTTAAGGCAGGCTTCCTCAAACTCTGCCTTCCATATGTTTTTGGCCTACAACTCCCATGATCCCTAGCTAGCAGGACCAGTGGTCAGGGGTGATGGGAAGTGTAGTCTCAAAACATCTGGGAGGCCGAATTTGAGGAAGCCTGATTTAAGGTACCTTAGGGTGTCACTGCACACTGGCTGAAAACCACTGGAGTATGGTATTGTGTTCTTAGTAGTTTCAGCAACCAAGTATTTCCTAGCTTATTGGACTTTTTTTCTCTTTTTGCAGCTCCTGTTATCAACAGATTCAACAGAAGAGTATCAGGTAAGATTTTCCATATTTTAACGCAACTCAAAACAATTGTCAATTGTTTTAAAAAACAGCTCAGTGTGCATGTATGTTTATATTGTGTTGGCAAATTCTGTGGGCATGCTTTGAGAGCAGTGATGTATTTATATGCCATCCTAAAAAGGTAATATTTTTAATAGCTTGGTCTTAATGTCTTACAATCTTACTGCAACAACCATATGTGTAGTGCTGTATTGTTGTTCTCTGTTTTTATACCCTACCAATATTGTATTTTACACCATTTATCCAAGTAATTAAGGGTTTTTATACTGAATGTTTCTCATTCAAACCAGGCAAAATTTATGAGAGTGCTGTCCAAGACAGGTTTTTTTTTTAACTGAAAGAATTAAACAGCACCTTTTAGAATACACAGCATGTTCTCCATCACTAACCTGTACCCTCTTCCCTCTTTAATAGGCAGCTTTAACTATTGTAAAAATAAGGGGGGGAAGTTGCCAGCTTAAGGGCAGCATATACATGTACCATATTTGTATAAAAACTCAAATTCTCTGTTCTGGATGCTTAGCTTACAATTTTAATAGGAATTGCTATCATGTGGCATGGAGGGAGAATAAGGAAAAGGGCCAACTAGAATATGAGCTCCTTGTAAAAATGTTAAATGTTCTGTGATTGCAGATAGCAGGGCAGATGAACTTTGGAGTGCTTGCGACTTGGAGGTTTTGATCAGGGAGTCTGTTAGTTGGCTTTTATACTTTGTTTTTTTAATTAAAAAAAATCAATTCAAAATAGAATTAAAAGTAGCATATTTTTTGCAATATGTCACTGAGCTCTTGGAGGGGGATATTTAATGTTATGAAGCAGCGGAGTGGCCTTGAGAGGGCTGAGTTGAATGGCTGTATGGACTAGCAGACATGGAAACCAGCATCTTACAATGCAGCTGAGAAATTGCTTGCTGCCTAGCTTCCTTCAGTATAGCTCAGTGAGGGCTGTTGAAATCATGATGGAATGCCAGCAAAATAGGCTTGTATCTACCTAATTATCTAAAAAAAAATATGCGCTGTCTTTCAGGGCAGAATTCTACTGAAGCACTTGACATATATAAATGAAATGTAAAAACAAAAAAGGCCCAATCCAATAGATCTGAACTGTTCAAAAGGCAGTCTTTCATGGAACAACATTCATATAACACTCATATAACACCAATTCAGTTGATTATTGGTCATTTACTCTGAATGTCTTATATGTGCTCTAGAAAAGTGTTTGGAAGCCCTATCCAGACTACTTCATGGTGTATAGCAGGGATGTCTAACTCACAAGAGAGTAGGTACTATGTGGACTTCCTTCATTGTAGAAATGTGCTTGTTTCCCCTAGCTGGTGGCTTTTCAATGCCTATTGCTTATCTTTGGGTTTGGGGGAGTTAAATATTATCTGGAGTCCAACAATATGTATGCTGTTGCTGCCTGCACTAATGTTCACCATCATGTGAAGCAAAGAACAGGTGATGCGTGCTGTTACAGTGTCCTTCTCCCTTCATGTCTTTGCTGGCTCTCTCCCCACCCCCAAAGTGGCCATGCCTTTACGGGGAGGGGGACTGTTTACAGTGATGTGTGCAATCAGGGTTCTAAACTATATCAGGAGAGTACTTGTGTTGAGCAAGCTCCCTGTTTCAGATCTTCAGTCCCAAAGCATAGAAGACACAGTCAGCAGGGAACATGCAGTAAGGCAGTTCCCAATATGGTGTATGTGTGTCTGTACAGGGATTTAGTGCAGTTAATAGCATGTAGTTAACATTTAGCATGCAGAATGGAGACCCTTATTTGTATAAGCATCCTGGATTGGCTTTTCACAAGCCTGTCTCTTAGGATCTAAGCTGCAGTGAGTGGATGGTCTTGGTTTCATGGGATTACTATGTTCATGTTCCAAAATAAACCACACTCTGCAGCCTTGAATTTCTTTTACTACAGCTGTTGTTTGTATTGCTATAAGTGATAAAACTTTTACACCAAGTTTTATGAGGCAAAACCTGTCCTCTAAACTATTTTAATCTCATATCTGTGATAGTGTATGTGAGTGTTTGGAATGTTTTTAACTGTTAGATTCACAGTGGCCTAGTGAAACATAAATTTGCTTAGAATACTCAGTTACATTGAACATTTAAAATCTAGGAATCTTCAGAAATGCAGTTGATGAATATTACTTGAATAGAAAGATTTGAACACATAAGTTAAACAGACTGGTTGACGCTGAGCCTGTTCCCAGGCATGCTTCCCCTCCCCCAAGCAGGGAGTTCTGATGTAGGAACATTCAACGTACAGTTCTTCAAATACCATCTATGCCACAGATTCTTTAGAAGGTGCAGGAAACCTCTATTTTACTCACATTTCCAGAGGCAGTAGACTGTAGTTATTGGCCTCATTATGTTTCTCACAAGAGAGAAAGTAAGTAAATGTTCATATTTGACTGCCGTAAACAATTTTGAAAAAGTATTTGGAAAATTGACAAATAAATTGAGACCTGCACACGGACAAATTAAAAAAGACAAATTCACTGCAGAATGAGTTGACTTTATAGATTTTATGAGTATAGCTGAACAATGTAATCTTCTGTCACCAACTCGTTGTATTGTATGGCTGACATAACTTTTCTAACCCTCTCTTCTTTGGTGAACTGGCCTCACCTGTGGAAAAAATAACACCGCTTATACCACTAGGTGATGCTATAGATATATAAATATTCCAAAGTCAATGTTTAATTATTTTTATTACTTCAGTCAATCTCAAAGCATTATTTAAGATTTTACAGTATCTTCTGGTTTTAACTTTTTATGTATATCGTGATTTAATCTTATATTAGTTGTAGTTGGATTAGTTTGCCATATTCCTTTATGATTTTGTATGTTACATTGTCAAAGCGCTGGAGAATCACAGCACCTGTTATGGTTACAGAGACCAGTAACTCTTAACTGTTGTTTTCCATGTTGTTATTGCTGCATTAGCAGCACTAAAGTGACCTCTCCAGGGCACAAGCCTGGGCAGTGTGTATGGAGGTCCTGGGCTGCCCAGACAACAAGATCCGCCTCCTCTTGGCCTTACTACTGTGTTCCAGAGGAAAGCAGAGCAATACATTTGGCACCAGCTTGGCTGCAGGAGTTGCCAGAAGGTGGTGTATAAGATCCCACCCAGCCATCCTAGGGACTCCACCTGAATTTTTAAGGGTTTGCTCCTTAGCCTCCCCCCGAAGATGTCCTGCATGGCAGTGGGTATGCATTCTTCCTCACTTCTGAAGACTTTCTTGCGAATGAGTATAGCCACAAGGCAGTGGAGGCTTAAATTTTCCTTCTCCCAGAAGGGCTACCTTCCCAGGTTGATGAGCCCTGTCTGCCCCTCATTTCCCTCTACAGCATGTGCAATAACTGCCTTCTTGACCGTTGGACCCACTATTGGTCTTATCCACTCAATCTGCCAGAGTCTGTCTTTGCATCCAAGGGAAGTCTCTAACTCACTGAGGGTTTGAGACCCATTGGCTACCCTCACCTGGTTTAGCCAGCCATCAAAGCCGTTTCATGAGGTGTGGCTGCTGTCGTATGCTGGCAGCTGTTAGGAGCCACAGGTGAGAGTAGAGTGCAGGGTGGGGACCAAAGATGGGCAAACAACCCCAGAAGGAGCACAATGTGTCCCTCACCAGAGGTACTACCCCTCCTTTAACACCCCATACACCCTTGTAGTATTAGTAATGCTTAGCCATTTGCATAAGACTTTTGAGAGTTCAAAGCACTTCATGTACGCTTTAGAATAACCCTGTAAGGTAGGTCAATATTAACATGCAGAAATCACAGTCAGCATTATTCTTCACACATGGTAAGATTTTTTTGTCCTTGCTCTTGGACTATCAAGCTCTTATTGAGGCATGGTAATAATGGTAATAATTCAGAGAGAAGAATTAGACTGAAGCTGCCAAAGTTCAATATTTTGTCCCCATATTGTAAGGGCTGGCAGTGATTTGCCTAATAAGGCCACTGTCACTTAATGGCTGTATACGCTGTTAAGTTCGTGAGAAACAGTTTCTGCTATCAAGCCTGCTTGGACATACCCCTAAACCAGCTTCCCCCAACCTAGTGCCTGCTACCAGACACCAGAAGACTGCTATAAACAATTACAAGCTGCTGGGAACAAGTGCTTGAAAAGGGCATTCTGTTTTCCCCAGGCAAATTCTGGGTTCCTCTTTCTAAAGGGCATGAAGCCCTTTTTAGAAAAGTATGTAAACAACATTGGCAGATATTTTAATAAAATCTGGGTTCAGAAGCGGGCTTTTAGCCTGAAGTAACTCCAGCTAAGTACTGCATGCCAGTTGAGCAGTAGGAGAAAGCTAATGCTCCTGCCTCTTTCTCTTTAAAACAACACTTCTCCTACATTTTATAACAGGAACAATTATCTATGCCTCTAGGTCAGTAAGTGCCAGCAAACAACAGGGAACTGTAGCATGCGTCAGAAATGGGTAATTACATTTCTGCCTAGTAACAAATGAAGGCATATTCTACATATGTAGCTGAAAGAGTTGAAAAAAATCTGAGTTGTAAGAATGGGCTTGTATCATGCCAGATGGGGAAAGGTCACTTTTTACTTATGTAAAAAACAAACAAACAAACAAACAAACACAAATAGTAACAAGAAGGTAATGGTTAGGCTAGCATCCCTCCTCCAAATATGCTAGGTTTTTATTTGCAGGGACTGTTCTACATGGGAAAGCATTCAGCACTGTCATTCTCCCATCTGCCATCTGAATTGGTACTATTCTGGGTCAACTTACTCTGCTGCATGTGTAGATGAGGCCTTATTAACATTTAAGCTGAGAAAAGTATGAGGGTCCAGTAGACAGCCTGCAAAATGGCACCAAGAATGGGGGAGGGGGCAGAACAGGTTTCAGATACAGGATATTAAGCATACACATATTTCAGATTGAACTGGTTGCTTGCTTTGAAAGTTTTCATTTCCCAAATGGAACTGAAACATTTTAT